TGGTCTATCATACTATCACTAATGGTACATTACCCTGTCAGTATTGTTCTCCTGATAAGTGGTCCATGTTGCACCATCAGTAGATGTATCTATCTGGTACATCTTCACCCACTGGTCGGCCATGATGTTCCCCTGTGTAGCCACAGCACAAACAAGATGAGAGGACCCCAAGTCAATCTGTAGATATGGATTAGAGTCACTTGTAGAGGCACACCACGATGAGCCTGATGCGTAGTGTAATCTAGTATTCTTGGCTGGGTGTTGAGCAGAAGAAGCTGTTATGCTGCTATCTTGAATAGTTCCTGATTCCATGCCAAGAGGAGAGGTCTCGCAAGCTAAACATAATTTTCAAATAAGTTAAGACTTAACCTTTGTTTTATGAATTTAAAGGTCAAACAATATGAAATATTWAAAAAAATATATCAAATGTTCGACGCATGACTTAACAAAGATTTGCTATAGATCTTATTTACCTTTTTGATATCCAAAGATCCCAACTCTCATAGACTTGCGCGAGTGATACATCACGGGGATGAAACGGATGTATCTTGCAAACTGCTTGGTAATTGAATGTCGTAGAATCAACTTGTTTTCAGCATTTCCTTGAAACACCTAAGTAGGGTAAAATTTTGAATTTAAAAATCCTATTCTCTATGCCGTCCATATTTGTCAATATTGTCTTAGAGAACACGTTGCGAATCCCTGATCTTCAAAGGATCCCACTTAGCGCTGCTTGAATGGAGCAGTCCAACCCGGGAGTCCGACGCGCGCGCATTAGAAGTCGTACATCTTACCTTGTTTACTCCATTTTCTTGGTATGTTGTCCAATTAATGTTATTTAGTGACACATTTATCTKGTAGGTCATGACCCATTCATGATAAAGTTCGTTCCCCTGTGTTGCTACAGCACAAATAATGTAAGGAAACCCGAGGTCAACCTGTAGGTAATCATTTGGATTGGAGTTTGTCTTTGCAGTCCATCCACGACCCTTAGAGTAATCAGAGTCACCAAGTCTACCTAAGTGTGGCCTAAAATATTCACCCTCGTAAAACGAACTTGCGGTAAAACTGCTGTCAGGTATGATGTATTTATTCTCCACACCAATACTTGTGTCCCCACAACCAGCTGTAGTAATATATTAAACAAATTTAAATATTAGATCGGTACTCTAGGAAAAGAAAAAACTATAGTAAAGCAAGCAAGCCAGCCAGCCAGCCAGCCAGCCAGCCAGACAGCCAGACAGACAGCCAGCCAGACAGCCAGCCAGCCAGCCATCCATCCATCCAAACCCGAGCAGCCTGCTGAGCCAATTTCATATTCGGAGTCAAATATTCATTAG